GCGTAAGTCGTTTGGGTGGTTGGAGCTGGTAGCTGCAGGTGGCTGGCTCACTGCGGGGTCTGATATGAGGCTGCCTGAGACCCCACGCCCTAGCCCCTGTTAAGGGCCAGAACGACCTCACCTGGTACCATCACTGCCCAGCTCCTCCTGTCTCCACATTGAGGGCATCGTGTCTCAGGCCACCAGGCAGGAGCCACTCCAAGGCATCTTGACACCTTTATGATGAAACCTTAGAAGCCCATCCCTAAAACCATTAATTTTGTGCCACCGGAGAGCCTCAGCGTTAGATCTGGTTACACACATCTAGAAACAAGAGTGTTATGTGGTCACGAGTCCACAGGAGACATGGCCTTCGCCCTCAATGAACTTAAATAGCATTCAACAGAATTTGATTAAATACTAACATGTATTCATTCAACAAACCCACTTTCAGTACCTGCTAGTGCCAGGAGCAGCACTAGGTGCTGGGGATACCGTGATGAGTAAGACAGGCAGTGCTTGCGGTGTGGAGCTGAGAAGCTGCTGGGGGGTGGGGGGTGATGTGGAGCAAATAACCCCAACGGGAGGGGACTAGGGGGCCGTGGGAGCTTTTAACAGGGCTGATGTGGCCTAGGGGGTGAGGGATGTCTGAGCTGAGCCACAAGCGTGAGGAAGAGCCAGCCAAGGGAGGTGGGTGGAGGTGCGGAGGAGGGAGGGGTCTCTGAGCAGTGCAGGGCTGGGAAGGGCTTCCTGCAGGAGCTCTGAGGGAAGCTGGGCCTTGGAGAGTGAGTCAGCCTTGAGGAAGCAGAGGGGGCGGGAACGGGTATTTAGAGCGACTGGGGCCATGGGTCTGGCTGCTCTGGTCTCACAATTGTGTGAGAAGGAAGTAAGGGAAGAATAATATTTTTTGGAGAGGCTGAATTTGAGTGGCTGGCCAGGCAGCGGCACAGAAATGTCCAGGGGGCACTTTCAAGTCAGAAATGTGGAGTTCAGGTGCAGGTGAGAAGGGGGGTCAACTCAGTCTTCTGAAGAAGAGACTATGGAGGAGGAAAACTGGAGACCGAGGACAGGGAGCCGAGACACCTAGGGGAGGAAGAGAGCCAGCCTGGAAGACAGAGAAGCCAAGCAGAGCATGTTCTCTAGAAGCTCAGAGGACAGCTCTCCAGGAGGGGAGCGAGGAGTGGCTCATCTGTGCCAGAAGTTAACGAGGCTTCTAGGGCTGAGAACTGGGCAGGGCAGCTGGGGATTATCCATGTAAATGAGGGAGTATTTGTAATGCCTTGCCTTGGTCTCCACCCCTCTCATCTTCCTTGCCAAAAATATCCCCAGAGGCCCCAACAGCAGGTCTGCAGCAGCTGGCCATTCCTGGGGCTTCAGAGGGAGGAGACCCCCGTTCTCTGCCTGGTATCAGTGGCCACCCAGCCTGGACAGCTGAGTGACAGTGGGACGCCAGCACTGCCTTTGAGCTGCGGAGATGAAAGGGGCCATGGCTGCTGGGGGTAGACAGGTGGGGTGAGCAGGCAGGGGCAGGCCTGCCTGACAGCTCAGCATTGAGGGAGCCCCTCCTTCCCGCCTCTCTGGTCGGCTCCAAGTCACCTCTATCCCACAGCCTCCTGCAGAAGGGAGAGCAAGGCCTCTCCAGTTGTCAGTGCAACCCTGGGGAAAGCTGTACTCCATTTGGGAGGACAGCGCCTTCACACATTGCCCACGGCAGGCCCCAGGCTTCCCGCACAGCCTGCCCGGGCCCTGCCCACACTGTGGCTTTGGGACGGGCTGGGCCTCACAGGAGAGGTGGGGTTCTGGCCAGGCCCAGGGAGCAGCAAGGAGGCTCCAGACATCAAGGTGTGGCCAACCTGATCCAGAACACCTGTGCCACCGACGCCCATTAACCTTTTCTGGCGCCAGAGCAGCTTTACCCTCCTGGTCCCTCCCACCCCCACTCTGATAGAAAGATATAAAGTTCAGGGGGGTGGCAGGATCAGGGGAGGGACAAATGGGTGAGGTGGACACAGCTGGGCCGGAGGCAGCTGTGATGAAGGAAGCAGAGTTTGGAGGCAGGTCGCCTCTTCTGAGCTGCCCACTCTTCTTCTCGGAGCCCTAATTTTCTCATCAACAAAATGGAATTAGGAGTATCACACGGCTAACTCATTTTAGAGGATTGTCGTGAGTTAATGAGAGAGTGAATGAACTTTCCAAACTGTCAAGGTTAAGTAAGTGTTGTGGTTACCACGACCACCATTGCATCAGGAGATTTCAACGTGAAATCCGCGGAGCCCAATTTTGGGGGAATCTGTGGCGTGCCTGAAATAACGTGTAAAAGTGCACGTGAGGGCATCTTTCTGGGGTGAGGATCCCTAGCTCTCAGCAGCTGCTTAAAGAGGTCTGGGACCCAACACAGTTTAAGACCCCCACACAGCACAAGTCTATCCCCTTCACTTTTCAGATGAGTTAGCTGAGACCCAAGGCCACACAGCTTGTCAGAGGGAGAGCCAGAGGTGGGGCCCAACCCTCCACTACTCCCCGCTGCCCCTCCCATGTCAGGTGAGGGGAAAGACGAGTTAGGAGGGAGCAGGGAGGGGAGAGCAGCCAGAGGAGAAGCCCCAAGTCCTGCCCTCCTCACTCTGCATTATCAGGATGAGGGCATCATGGTGGAGGGAGGCAGCAGGGAGAGACAGGAGAACAGGGAAGCCCAAGGATGGGAGAGGCCTGGGAGGCCCTTCCTGGAAGCATAAGTTGCTGAATAAGTGAGTCATACTCCCAATCTCCTTTCCCAGCAACCCCCCATAAAAGACTCGACAGAGGAGGAAATACAACTCTCTCTCTGACATTGTCTTGAAATGACTTCTCTGGTTCTGCTTCCTCTTCTGGAAAAGTTGAAGATATCGTGTCAAACCTTTATGGAAAACTGTGAAGGGCCACACACAAATGTAAGGTAGTCATCACCCAAAGATGCCATTTATTGAGCAACTACTGAGTGCCAGGCGTGTGCGGGATGCTTTGCCTAAGTCAGCATAAATGTCACCACTTGAAGAGACCTCCCCTGACCACCTGGTTAAAGTAAATCCACTCCTCTCCCCCAGCCTCCAGTTATTCTGGCTCATGCTCCCTGTTCCCTTCCTTCCTACCATTTCTGATAATTTGTGATATTTCTGTGTGCTCCTTTTATCCTCTCTCTCTTCCACTAGACTATAATCTTGCCATGGGCAGGAGTGTCAGTGTGTTGATCGCTGTCTGTCCGTGCTAAGCATAGTGCCTGCCATCTAGCAGTCACTCAGATGACTCATTGTTAAATGAATGCATGGCTGTCTCTAATCTTCACAACAGCTTTCTGAGGTAGGTATTATTCTTCCATTGTACAGAAGAAGAAACTGAGGTTCAGAGAGTCAAAGAGACTTGCTTAAGGACACAGTTTGTTACCACCAGACCGCAGCTGTGCTTCTTCCCCTTGAAGGATTTGGAGACTGAGAAAAGCTAAGGGTCAGAAGAGAAAGTTGGGCCCAGCCAAATGGCTCACAGTTCAGCCACCACCCCATGCTCAGCCTTCCCCAGCTGAGCTCTCCCAACCTCTCAGACACCCCAGTAGCTCCAAGTCATCAATCCACAGCCACAGAGCTAGAGGCCAGTTCAAACTGGCCTGTTTATTTCCAAGCCAAGTGAAAACCAGTCCTTCCCTGCCCACCACAGAGCAACATACAGCTGGGAGTCCACACCCCACCCCGAAGCCTTAACACAGCAGATAAATTAGTGAACTCTCTTATAAAACATTGTACAGGGAAAATACATACATACGTATAAAGCCAGTGCTGGTGCTGGGGTGGGGTTTGCTCCTTGAACACAGGTAACCAGCTCCTGCCCCATCAGGGCGTCTGCCCACCCCTGCACTCTTTCCCTGAAGTGGCTCACCTGCTGTCCCCACAACCCGGTACCTTGGCTGGTTAGCACACATCCTGCCCCCAAAGGGAACTGCTTCCTGGCTGCCCCTCCCAGCCTGCACCTGAGGTGGACCCCTCCCTGCCCTTCCTCCTTACTGAGGCGCCTGCCTTGGCCTGGTCCCAGGAATTCGGCCCACCGGGATCTGAAGACAGGGAAGACAGACCAAGGAATATTGTTTCCTGATACGTAGGGTGACCATATATCATCCAAACCAGGACTTTTTTGAAAGTGGAAGGGGGCCTAATTTACCGAAAGCAGGCATGAACCTGGGCTGCCCAGGCAAAGGACAAATGGTCACCCCACTCACAATCTTCCCTGCTCTGAACTGGCCTAGTTGTGCCACTTTCCAAAACACATTCCCCACTAGCAGCAAACGCCTCTCAGACCTCTATTCCCATCTCTGTCGCCTCCCACTCTCCAAGGCCTTCCAGCATCTTGGTTACACATTTTAAGGCTTCAGTAATATGGGGGACCTATAGTATCGGGGTTGGGAGGGGTGGGAATGATGCCCCCTCCAAATCCCATATGGGATCTGGCCATGTAAGGCCTTTGGTGTCAAGCCCCAGGCCTTCTGCCTCCTTGGGCCCAATCCCCAAAATCATAGCTGCCTGGGTCTAAAAAGCAAGCCTTAATCCTCTGTCTCCCATCCCAAACTTGCCAAGTCTTCTCTCTCTAGTCCTCCCTGTAGCTAAGGGCCAGGGCCAGGGCAAAATGAACCAGCAATCCCCCATCCCTGCCCATGGCCAATACAAAGCATCTGTTCCGGTACCTTCTCTACAAGCTGTGCATGCACATTCCTGGTCCCACCTCCATGTGGCTTCTATGCTAGGAACCCCAGGAATCACCTGTAGGGGTGGCAACGGTGGAGCCTAATGAGACCAACCTGTAGTGCCCTGCATCCCTACCCCAGCGGCTGGGCCTCAGCCCTTGGTGAGGCCTGACAGGCCATCACAGCCAGGGTCCCGATGGGTTCCATTCAGAGTTAGTGCCCCAGCCCCTGCTTTAGAACCTGCCCAGTAGGCCGCGCTTGTAAAACTGCTTTCAATAAGCCTTGCTAAAGCAAATGGTACCCGATAGTGGAAACTCAGGCTCCAGTCCTTCAAGGTTCCTCCTCTCCTCCCTCCTGCCCCTCCCACCCCATCTGCATGGTCCACAGCCATGCCAGTGCTTTGGGAAACAGAAGTCCAATCTTGATCTTCCCCGGCCCACTGCTTCTCACTTGTTGTCCGGCTGTCTGTCTTTGGGAAACAAAGATTCTTCCGTGTCCGAGTCAGGCTGCCTAACACCTGCTGCGTCCCTCCCACCCCCACAAAAACAAGTGCCGGGATCTGACCCCTTGGAGTAGAACTAAGAAAATTCTGGGCTCAGGATGGGGCTTTCCAATGGGCCCCTGAGTAGGCATAGGAGATGGGATGGCGGGTCCCCGGCCTCACGGTGAACGTGTTGATGGGGCTTCCATAGTGGGGGGTGTTGTGGGGAGACCTGGGGGGAGCAGGAGAGAGATGAGGTTAATACCTGCATCTGGTTAACCAACACCCTCCCATCTCCCCCAGGACACAAGAGGGGAGATGTGGCTTATTGCTATGGCATCTGCCCCACAAACCCCAGGCTTATCAATCCAAATGGGACGCTCGTCCACCAGTATTGATTCCCCAGACACAGGGCTCGCCCTCCTGTCTAGGCCCTGCTGGCCATAGTGTACATGCCTAACACACCTCTGCTCAGAACCCTTCACTCCTAGCCTACCTCCAGATCCACCTCTGTGTTATTGGGAAATCCCGCACCAAGGACCACTCAGATCTCCCCCAACCCCACACTTAGCCTAAAGCCCTGGGACTCCAGGGGGTGGGAGAGAGGAGAGAGAAGAAGGGGAAAGCAGGGGGATGGGGAAAGAGAACAAGGGAGATAATGGGAGATAAGGAGGCAGGTAAGGGAACCGCCAACAGCGCCCTCTCCAGGTAGAGTGCGCCTCCCTCCCCTTTCTCTCTGCACTGAGAGCCAGAGGGGAGAAAACGGAATGTCCCCTACTCATGGCCGCGGCCTGGTCAGCCCCTCTGCGGTCCGAGGGCAGAGCCTCCACCCCACCTGGCTTCCCATCCCAGGCTCCCTCCATCGCCCGGCCCCAGCTCACCTGCCGGTAGCCGGGGCGAAGCCGTAGTCGCCGCCTGGCCCCTTGTACTTGGCCTCTCCGCGGGCCGCGCCCTCCAGGCACGGCTTCCGCGCATGCAGGCCGCCGGGGGGCGCGCGGCCCGCCGAGCCCACGCGCCGCACCTCCGGGCCTCCGGGCGCTCTGAAGGGCCCTCCGGGCTGCGGCCCGAAGCAGTTGGGGGAGCTGAGGCTGCGGCCCGTGCCGCCGCGGGGCAGCCCGGGGCTGCAGTGGGACTCCCCAACGTACAGGCGCTTCTTGATGAGAGAACGGCCCCCGCCCGACGAGCGCTCCGGGCCCCCGGCCCCGGAGTAGCGCGCATCCGCTGGGAAGCGCGAGAAGCCGCAAGGTGCAGAGGCCACGGGGCCCGCGTCCAGGGGCTGCCGCAAGTCTGAGAAGTTGTTCCGGGGAGGGGATCCCCGGCGCCCCAGATACTGGAGGGCCGGGGTCGGGGGCTCAGGGTCATTGCTGAACTCTGGCGGCGGTGGGATGACCTCAAAGCTGAACTCCTTCTCCTCCTCCTCCCTCTTGGAGGGAGGAGAAGGAGGGGACGAGAAGGACTTGGGCAGCAGGCGGCCCTGGGGGAGGTTGGAGGGCGCTGCTCTTTCCCAGGCCACAGGGGCCTGGGGCTCCGCCTTGGTCCATCTGTGCCCATGGCTTGGCTCTGTGCCCTCTGGGTCTCTGCGGGACTGGGGCTTCCACTGATTGGGTACCGTGGGCTGTGTTGACCAGGCCAACTGAGGGTCCTTCTCAGCCTCCTTGGGTAACTTGGGGACAACAGTGAAGGAGTTGGGCCGGCCCTCAGAGAAGATGCTGTCAGAGTTTGCCTCCGGCTGGCTGCTGTGGCCACGGATACTCCCTGGCAGGGAGGACCGACTCAGGGCAGCCCCTCCAGACCTCCCCTTCTGTGCCCTCTGCCTGGCTGCAAGGAGCAGGGCCATCGGGGAACCCCGCTCCACCACCTCCCCAGTCACCGGATGCCTGAGGAGTTCGTCAGCAGGCTGGGCTGAGGCTGGGGGTTTGGCTGGGAGCCCCTGGGGCTCCTTCACCCCGACAGGCTCCCCCGACACTGCAGCCTCTCCTCTGGCCATTGTAGGCATCACCATGGCAGCCTCCCTGCTGGGGCTGTTCTGGCCACGGTGGGGCTTGTAGGGCAATGTCACCTCTTCTCGGCCAGGGGATATCTTTGGTGGGAGGGCTGGAGATGAGAGGGCTCCCCCTGTGGGAGGGTTACTGGCCTCTGAGGGGCGCCTGTCTGCCTCTGGCTGGGAGGGCACTGCACATTCTTGAGGTTCTCGCTTCTCCCACTGCCCAGCTGGGACTAGGTTCTTCTCTGCTATCAACTGGCAGGATGTGGTGGGCAGAGTTGGGACTGCAGATGGTATGGCAGGCCCAGCCATGGCCTTAGGTGGTGTAGCTGGCCCAGGTGTGGCCGATCCAGCTGTGAACTTGGATAGTGTGGCTGGTCCAGGTGTGGCCTTGAGTGGTGTGGCTAGCGCAGGTGTAGTTGGTCCAGGTGTGGATTTGGGTGGTGTGGCTGGTCCAGGTGTGGCTGGTCCAGGTGTGGCGTTGAGTGGTATGGCTGGCCCAGGTATACTTAGTCCAGGTGTGGCCTTGGGTGGTGTGGCTGGTCCAGGGGTAGATGGTCCAGGTGTGGCCTTGGGTGGTGTGGCTGGTCCAGGGGTAGTTGGTCCAGGTGTGGCCTTGGGTGGTGTGGCTGGTCCAGGTGTAGTTGGTCCAGGCATGGCCTTGGGTGGTGTGG